GTCTTATCCATGAGTTGAAAGGTAATATCTGCACCAGTGCCTGAAGCATCTCCTCCCTCTTTTTCTCTGTCCTTGATGTTCACACTGCCATTTTGCACTTTTGGGTTTTTTTCTGTTCTCCTCTGCCTGTGTGGCATTTTGCCCTTTCTTAAATACATTTTCATAGAGGTGCCACCAGCTTTGCTGATGGGACTTGGCTGTGTCCTGTAGTGGGTGTGTTGTAGAGCCAGCTCTGTACAGCGCAGGGCAGCTCCTGGCCTTTTCTCACAGAGAAAACTCCCTGCAGCTCCCCCACTGTCAGCACCTTGCAACCTACATCCAATACACTTTCGTTCCCTGATTTCTTATGCTAGTAGTTGAAGAAGGGGCTCTTTAGAATTCCTGACCACATAGGGGCTCACTCCTATTTAGACTGCCAAAAAAAAAAAAAAAAAAAACCCAATAGTTTTCACCTACAGGAGCCTTAGTGCAACCGTAGTACTGGGATGGTTTGCTGAATTTTATTAGGCCAGTTGTCTGCTGCATAATAGAAACTAAGACTCTTATCACTGTTTTATTGAAACACAAAATTTTAAAGACATTTTCCTTTTTATTTTTTTTCTCCCCCTTACAGAAAGAAATTCCAAAGTTTTCAAGACAAAAAACTTAAAATAAGCAAAGAAGACACAAAAGCTCTTAGAAAAGCCAGGAAAGAAGGCACTTTTCATGAAATGCTGCTTGACAGGTACTTCAAAATACAAGAAATATTGTACTGATTAAAAAAACTGCTGGGAGGTGGAATTACAGTAAACCTGGGGTACAAAAGAGGGGTAGATTCCAGGCAGGTTGTTGAGCATTTCTTCTGTGGTGAGTGTTGTGCCTGAGTTCTGGGGTTGCCTTTTTTTTTTTTTTTTCTAATCTGAATTTTCACTTCTTTAGCTGAAGTTAGCAGGTTTGGACTGTAAATTAATTCAGGTTGCTCAGTGTGTTTACTGAAGAGTTATTGAGGGATTACTCTTTTTAATCCTAAAAATTAAGCTAATTTTTAACATTTTTCAATACCCCAGAAAATTTTGGGGAGACAGAAGTTGCATTTTAAAGAGAAATAGCATTTATTAGGACTATCTTTGTGTTATCTAGTGGGAATATTTTTCTTTCTCCCTGAGCTGAGGCTTTAGAAACTGTCTTGAATTTTTAAAGCCTTTTGTACCAGTATATGGTATAAATATTTGCATTAATTCAGTGGGCAGAATGCAGAAAACTATTTCTGATAATTGCAGGTGATGTGAGAACACTCCTGGGCTATTATTAATGTTTTGAGACAGCTAAAACACTCAGGTATAATTGTATTTGGTCCTAATGTAAATCTTCTTTCATTCACTCTTTTCATATAGGAGAGCAAAAGTGAAAGCGGATAGATACTGCAAGTGACATCCAGCTGGTCCATTTTCTTCTGCATCTTTGACAGGGTCAAATTGAAAACAAGAGTAAAATATTTTATAATTTTTTTATTTAAGTAATTGTTAAGTATCTTCAGAATTGTATTAAAATTTTCTCACATATTGATAACCCAGTTATAAAATCTTATTAACTGTATCACTTGTGCATAGTTGACTTGTATTAAGGGAATGGCTTCAAGAAAAATTAAAGGTATATCAATTACCAATGGCAAAGTGTTTGCCATATACCTTAAGCCCTGTGAGACAGACTGTACACTGATTTAGTTCAGAGAGAAAGTTCCCTGGCTTTTAGTGATCTTGCCCTCAAATAAAAATCAACACCTCATTAATGGGTGAGCCATGTAGGCATAGCTTTTTACCAACAGCAGAAAGTGTCAAGTACATGAACGGATTGTATATGTAGCTTAGGGGCTTTTCAGTTACTGTGTGTGTCCGCATGCTCTGTGACTTAATGTAAAGAAGAGGGCTATGTTGTCTTTTCCACACTGTGTAAAGGCCGTATTTTGAGTTCCTGTACTGTTGGTAAAAATACACTGCACTGCACGTGCTCAGGTCTGACAGAGGTGTGAGTGCTGAATTTATGGGGAGAAAGCTAAGAGCTAGAAATAAATAGATGATTGTTGGCAAATGTTCCTGGCCAGTCTGAGGAATTCTTGGATGAAAATGCAGCATAGCTGTGAGCTGTTCTATCAGAGCAAAAAAAAAAAAAAACATAATTAATTTTTCTCCAGAGCTCCTCAGTTTGGCTTAGGACTGGGGATTAGGGCTCATTAACTAGTTCTTGTTGTAGGTACCATGCTACATGTCCCTCCCCAGAAATGTAAGTAATCTGATGTACAACTATTACAACATCATGGACCTGGAAGTGGGCAAGTGCCAAAACTACTCCCAGAAACACTGAGCAAGAGGCAGCACTGCAAGGAGCAGGCTGCAGGCCAAAATGACTTTATTGGACAGTTCATTGCAGGTGTCATTGATCCACAGTCACTGTGAATCTTAAATACATCTGAAGTGAATGTTGATGGTTGAAGTAGATTGATATTACAGCATCTGTTTTTCTTTCAAGAATCTACTGTTTGAATAAAAACTTGTCTGGTAGAACTCAAAAAGATGATTACTTCAAATGTGGATGCATCTGGAAGCAGAAATCTATGCTGGTGAGAAGAGTGCTGAAAGGAGTACTCAGCAGCTGAATAAGAGCCTGAGAATTACCCCTGTAAATGGAAAGTTCCCTTCATTTTAGTGCAAATAGGAGATGCAAGGTGCAGGTGCTCTAAGTGCTAGTAAAGAAGAAACAGAACTGAGAGGCATCTTTGTTATAGGGCTAGGAATAAGTGAAGCAAAAAGAAATGGCAGAGCAAATGAAGTGAGACTGCTTCAAGTAGAGGAGGAAGTACTAGAATTGGTGAGGGACTGGCAGCCTTGCAGGGAATAAGGATATTATAGTAGCAATGGGGTTGTCTTCTGTGTCGGGACTAATGATATACTAGATTCTAGCTAAAACATGTTCTGAGATACACAGAAACAGTGATCTGGGAAATTCACTGGAAATCTGATCCCAGGAAAATGAAATCAAAGGTATGACACAACAGTGAAGATCCGTATATTTAACCGACGGTATAGCCCATTGGGATATTTTCCCGTTGGAGATATTCATGGAGTCATCTTGGAGATGTGTCCTGGCAGTACTGTTAGCATAAGGAGCTTTAATTTAACTAAAACAGAAAAGGAGACGTAATTTGTGCAGCCTCTGCTTCTGGAGGAAGGAAGAGATCTGGAGAGTGGTAATACAGTACTGGATAGGTGAGTATGAGAAAGCAGAAGGTGGACATAAGTTCTAGGTATGAGTGACACCAGCTGTCTTAGTACAGTTAGCGAGTTAACTGCACATCTTAAGAAGCTTTTTTCTTCTGAGTTAGACTTTTGAAAACAGCCAGAAGAAACCTAGACAACAAAATCGAGGGCCTAAAGTATTGGAGTGGACCCTGGAGACAAGACATTCTGATAGGAATACAGCAGAACATCCATAGTCAGAGAAACATGGCTACTGGAAGATGCTAACTATTTCTTAAACTGAGAGTTTCTTTAGCAGTGGAAGAACTAAACCAGAAGCACAAAGAGGCTTCAAAATGTACTAAAGATGATAAAGCATCTAGACAAAGATAGTAAAATCCCTAAAAGCTGTCTACTCCAGAAATAAAAGATGAGCAAAAGGGGCTGCAGATGTTTAGAAAATAACAGGACCAACTTAATCACACTCTTTCTTACCATAGTCCATAATAGTATATTCAGATATCTGCAAGTAAATACAGGATTTTTGTCTTATATGTACTTGTTTTCAACTGAAAATATTTTCCAGGTCCTATAGAAACTGCCTGATTTCCTGTTTTTGAAAGAACACTCCCGTGAAAATCTCAAGGTTTATCCTGTTATGCTGTAATTTTCCTTGTTTTCTAAATCCACAGATTCGTTCTCTATCTTCTTTCACCAGTGCTTAATGCTTTTCTGCTTTGGTCTCTAAAGCTCTGTGCAATTTCCCATCTTATGCTCTGAGCTGGCTCCTTCCTACATACTTGCATTCCCTCCCTTCACCCAAGGCTTTCCCACATTACAATACATTTCTTTTATCCTTCCTGTTTCTTAATTTCTGCAGTTCCTTGCAGCTTTCCAATCAACCTTCTGCCAAGGACTTCCCTTTTTTTTCTTGACACCCCTGGTTTGTTTTGTAAGACAGTTAATTGCACAGTCAATTAAGTCATGATATTAAAGACTGTATCACTTTTCTTCTGCTTGCCTAAGAACACATGACACATCTTGGTCACTACATAAAGCACATGACACAAGGTAAAACACAGGCAATCCCAGAAGGTTTTGAGTATTTTGTCATAGTGCTTCCCACAACTGTTGCTAACGTATATGATCATTAAATGTTTATTTGCTCACACTAAAATGATACCTTTTATTGTAAGTTATTTGGAGTATGCACTTTATTTGGCTGCTGACTTGTACTTGATATTACAACAAATATTACAATAACCTGATCTAATGGGTGGTATCCTTGCCCAGGGCAGGGAAGTTGTAACTAGATGATTTTTAAGGTCCCTTCCAACCCAAACCCTTCTACGATTCTATGAAATAGATACCATTTATGTATAGTAATGAACAAATAGCACACAAGGTGCTTATGGCTGGATACATCTCATGTCCTGTATTTCTCATCAGTCTGCCCCGTTGCCTGTTTCCTGCACTTCTAAGCAGGCAAGATAGAGAGAAGTCTTCCTAAAGAAGGCGCCTGCCTGGCATCTCCTTAGCACGAAGCCTGCCTAAAATCTTCCCAAGGACACAGAGTAATTAAAAGTCCCAGCGTTTACGAAGTGAAAACTGGTGCCACGGGTTTGTCTCAGTGTTTCCAAAGAGACGCGATTTTATTTCGGATTTCCCTGTGCGGAGCTTCCCTCTCGTGAAAGTGCAGCTGAAAATGGGTTCCGCTGCTGTATTATAGATGGAGAGGCGGGCCGTGTGGGCGGTGGGAGGGTTCTGTCCCTGCCGGGCGGGGCCGTGTCATGTGGCCGCGGCTCCGGGAAGCGCCGAGGGAGCGGGGCCGGGAAGGAAGGAAGGAGGATGGCGAGCTGGGGCAGGGCGCTGCTGGTGCTCGCCGCGCTGCTCGTCCTGGCGCAGCTCTCCTGGGCGCCGGACCCGGTGAGCCTGGGGCGGGAGGGGAGCCGGGACGGCGCGGTGGGTGGGATCGCCCCCAGCCCTCACCGGGGGATGGCGGGGGGGATACGGCCGCTCTTCCCCACGCCGGAGGCCGAGCGAGTGCTCAAACCCGCGCGTGTGGATGTGCGGGGTGTCCCGCTGCCCCACGGGCTCGGCGGCTTCCAAATGGCTCCTGTGGCGCGGCCGGGACGGGCTGTGCCACGGGTATGTTGTACAAGTCCTTGTTCGCTCCTGCACTCGGTTTCATGTGCGTCTGTAAGGTCAGTGTTGCCCTCTTACGCCAAAGCGGCGATTTCCCAAAGGAAAGTTAGGACGGGCTTGCTAAAAGTAGGGACACCTCGGAATCTGCTGAGGGTATTTGCTGTAGCTCACCCAAGGAGAAGTGTTAGAGTAGGTGGGCTTGGGATGTCGTTTCTTGTTCTTTCGGCTGTTTTGTTGTTTGGGGTTTTTTTAAGCTGAATAAGTGAAATATTTAACTTTTGGTGGAGCTGTGAAGTTGGAATGGGGCAGAGGTAGTTACTTGGAACGGGCTGGCTTCCATCTTCTGCATATGTAAACAGCTGCTCTTGCTTCCTGGTGTATTTTTTATTCCTGAAGTAGTGAAGCACTCTAATCTCAGCAGTTCCTGAATCTCCTCCTCCTCTGTAAAGAGGACAGGTTTTAAATATCTCTGGATTTCAAAATAATATTTTACAATCTGTTTTTAAATATTTTGGGAACATCTACTTCCTTCACTCTAAGACTTTTCCTAGCAAATGTTATTGATTTCGGGAAAATGAGTATGGAATTTGTGAGAGGGGAGAACTACAGGAAAGGACTGTAGATATCTGGATGACCCATGTTCCCTTAGCTTCCTGATTACACAGAACTGGGCTCTCTTCTCGCCTCTCTCTTCTTCCCTCTCTCCTTCCAGTCCCATCCCACCCATCTCAGAGAAGTTTCCCAATACTATAAGCCAGCTCTAGCTTAAAACACCTTCAGAATTTTAGCCAAAAGTATCCTGGGGTATGGAGTGGTAGGGACTGGAGCACAAGTCCTATGAGGAGAGGCTGAGAGAGCTGGGGTTGTTCAGTCTGGAGAAGAGAAGGCTTAGAGGCGACCTCATCACTCTCTTCAACTACCTGAAGGGAGGTTATAGCCAGGTGGGGGTTGGTCTCTTCTCCCAGGCAACCAACAATAGGACAAGGGGACATGGGCTCAAGCTCTGCCAGGGGAGGTTTAGGTTGGATGTTAGGAAGAAATTCTTTACAGAGAGGGTTATCAGGCATTGGAACGGCCTACCCAGAGAGGTGGTGGATTCACCATCCCTGGAGGTTTTTAAAAAGAGATTGGACGTGGCCCTTAGTGCCATGATATAGTAATTGGAGTTGGATCAGGGGTTGGACTTGATGATCTTGGAGGTCTTTTCCAACCCAATCTATACTATGATACTATGATACTATGATAAGAAAATGCCAGCTATCAGCAAAGTCTAGTCATTGATTTTTGCATTGGATTGTTCTTGGTACATCTTTGCACTTGCATCTAGTCCAGTCTGTGTCCAGACTGCAAGTTGTGCTACTGTGCAGCCAGATATCAGGCTTGGATATTTTGGTTTTGTTTGATGTACTGGATTGCATCATTTGCTGGAGAATAAACAATTTTTGTCTTCCTACATACAGCTGTTTGGTTTCTTTTCATTAACAGAGAACATGGCAGCTAAATGTCTTGAATTACACCTCAGTGGAGCAGACTATCAGTCCCTTTAGCTTTCAGTTAGGCCCCCTCAACCATACTGAACTTTTTGTCCAAACTGCAATTTAAATTGTCTTGGTCACCATTCCTTCAGAGCTGCAAGAGTACTCTTAAACTGTCTGAACAGCATTGGGACTGCTGCAGCACAACAGAGTGCTGCTTTGGCATTGTCCTGTGAGGGAAGGGGAGCAGAGAGAAAACCATGTTAGACCACAGAGTTCATAGACCAAAAGATGCTGAATATAACAGATTGACTGAAGGAGACTGAATGCAGTGTCCTTAAACTATGGAATTGTATTTAATAACTCAAAGAGGTAATTTTATATTTATTCTTACATATGAAGATCAGAAACACTGACTATTAAGGAAGGATGCCACAGATGATCCACTTCAAAAATATATTTGAGGGTAATTTAAAAAGTACTGGCATTCCTTAGACTGGAAAAGCGACATTCAGTCTATTTCATATTAATGAAATTAGGCTAGGTGTCAAAATATTTGCTCAGCAGTCATTAAACCTTGCATTAATTTGCTTTACTGCAGTGTTTAATAACTGTTATTACTTGATTTTTTTCTTCCTAGTTAGGAGTTCATCTCAACAATTTTCTAGCTATTTGGTTCCTGTTCCACTCTACTTTTTTCATAATATTAATCTTCTGTGCCACTTCCATTTTTTTCTTTTTATTTCTGTCTTTCCCCATATCATGTTCTCTTTCTCCTCCACTCTGTTATCTTCCTTTTAGTGTTTTAATCCTATGCTGCCGCACATCTGGTTTTGCCTCATTATGTACATCCAAGTTTGAAAGTCAGTAGTACATCAGATAATGAAAATATGCAACCTACCGGCAACAGTAGGTTGTTTGGTTTTTTTGAAAAAGCAAACAAACCCAAACTAAACAAAAAAAAGCATTAAATCACCATTCACGAATAGCTGTATTCCTCCTAGGGGGTTCAATACATGTTTGAAAAGCAAATTTATAGTGATAAACTCCTGTTTGGAGCCAGCTTCTGCTGACATTTTCTAGGGGACCACCTCTGGCTTGTCACATTGGAAAGTGACAGCAATTCTGTTGTGCTGGAAGAATGTTTCTTCTTCTATTGCACAGTATTTATTGTTCCTCCTCTACTGTCAGGCCTCAGAAGAGAGGAGAATCTTGCTGACCACAGCAGTAACTTCATAGCTTCTTGTTTCATTCTACTTTGAAAAAGTTCTTGATGGTTTTTTATGTTGCTGCAAGAAAATCCTTTAGGTGTCTTTTTTTTCTTTTTACCTTGTCAGAAAGATTTACTGTTACTCTTTAGCTGATTGCAAAAGGGAACAACTTTTTGTTCATTGTTAAAACTTCATGTAAAAAACAGAAGCCAAAACACTTTTAATTTTCTAGTTGTCTTTTTAAGTTATTGCTTATGTTCCAGGGGAAGCCATGTGAGGAGTGGCTGAGGTCACTTGGCTTGTTAAGTCTGGAGGAGACTGAGGGCAGACTTCATCACAGTCCACAGCTTCCTCACAAGGGGAAGAGGAGGGGCAGACACTGATCTCTTCTCTCTGGTGACCAGTGACAGGACCTGAGGGAATGGCCTGAAGTTGTGTCAGGGGAGGTTTAGGTTGGATATTAGAAAGGTGTTCTTGACCCAGAGGGTGGTTGGGCACTGGAACAGGCTTCTCAGGGAAGTAATCTCAGCACCAAGCCTGATGGAGTTCAAGAAGCATCAGGACAATGCTCTCAGGCACGTGGTGGAATTCTTGGAGTGTCTTGCACAGAATTAGGAGTTGGACTCAATAATTCTTGTGAGTCCTTCCAACTCAAGATATTCTGTGATTCTATGATATAATAGTTTACCTAAAGAAACTACTAATAATCTTGACTTTCTTCAGATACCTCAATCAAGCAGTTTTGAAAGATGTATGTGTTGTTTCAGGAATTATTGGTTCCTTTAGCTTGCTTTATCCATAGACAGATGAGGAATCTAAAATTACTGCATGTAAGGAGGAAACATTTTCTCTGTTACTTCCCCCTTTTACTGTTGCTTTCTTCACCTCTTTTGTGACTTAGGTTGCAAAGGTCTGGGAAGATAAAAATAGCTCCAAATACAGGATTAAAGTCTCAGGATGAAGTGTCAGGAGTGACATTCTGTCACATTTAAGAGTGTTAGCACAGGTGACATTTAGCACCAGGAACATCACCTACAGTCCTCTGAAATCAGTTTGCATGATTGCCACTGTTTCCTCCATGTGCTCATGGGCTATACTGACAGATTAACTGAACTTTCATCTCTTTGAGATAATTTTTTGTTACAGGCTTTATCTGTCAAGAAGCATATTTTTGAGAGCAGGTTTCTCCTGAAGGTCCAAATCTGTGCACCCATTGCAGTAGGATGCATGAGTAATGTCACTTTTTCGAATTGATTATAGTATTGCAGGATGGAAAATTTCACAAGACAATTGCATTAATACTGTTAAGCATTTGTCTGACTTTGCACAAAGCCTGTGACTTTTGTTGCCTAATTAGTCATCTGATATCCTTCCCTGCCCTCCTTGTTTTGACACTTCTTCATTTTGAAAATTAAATGGCCTTTTGCATTTGATCTTTTGTTCCAGCTATGCAAAGGCTATAACAGCACTGCAGTGAAATCTAGGAAACACTTCGCTGCTGGTCCTATACCTTCGTCTCACATGTTGGAAAGCCAAAATTCATATTGTGCTTTCTCCCAGCAATTTGAAACAATACAAAGAGAAGCACATGATAACACACAGAAAGCAATCCCAATTCAGAATTGCTGTTTCCGGTTGTAACAAATTAGGCCAGTGTTTAAAGTCCGTGGCATTGTGTAAGACATTGTGTTTTCTATAATAATACATTAAAACCAGATAATGGGATTAGACCAAAGAGAACATGGACATTATTTAGCTTGTTCCAGTTTAGTTTGTTCAGTTAGGTCACTGCTGGAGATCTTGTCCCAGTTTTCATTGGAACCAGAATGCATTATAAGGGCACACTTGTAAAGTAATCTAATTAATACAACCAAATAAATATTCAAAATCAAGGGTGGTGAGGAAGGGAAGTGGTGGAAGGATTCCTACATATTTTTGTTTCTGTTCTGTCTCTCAAACACTTGTGCTTTGGCAGCCTTTGTATGGACTCCCAGAACAGCACATGTACCTTTGTTTTTTTCCTAGTGGGACATATTGTGCTTTAAGGAGCTTACTGAACTTCTCAGGTAGCTAAGGGACCAAATCTGGTCTATTCTCAACTGACTTGAAGCAGAAGTACAGGTACCTAGTAGGCAATTGATTGTATTTCACTGGGTAGAATGTGCAATTATCAGTGGCATATATATGCTTATGTTTATGTATTTATATGCATGCTTTATGCAATTGATGGGAAAACACCCTTGCATTCACTTTGAGTACACCTAAAATAGTTCTCAGACTTTCATTTGTAACTGGCCATGCTTGCAGTAATGAAGATAACTATTTTTAGTTATATTCCTGAAATGCACCTCTCGTAATGTTTAGCACCACTTCAGCAGCATTTTTCCACACTAAATCAAAAGTCCTGCCTTTTAGCTCATTATGCCAGCTGAGTAATATGCCCAAAGTTTAGTGTGCTTTCCCTACCCCAGCTACACAGTGAAACTGAACACTAAACATAATGATGAATGGTGCTGTAAAATGGGATTATGAATTGGACAAACGGAACAAACTGGTCCATCCTGAGATTTAAGGTTTCTGAACTTGTATAAAGAAGTAAATAAAGTAATAAGTAAATAAAGTAAGTAAATAAAGTAAATAAATAAAGTAAGTAAATAAAGTAAGTAAATAAAGTGCTCTTCATTAAATCACACTGAGTAAAAGTGGGTTTGTATCTTTATCATGAACTTGTGCTTGCCCTGGACTACATTAGGCACGTTGTCTGAAGGTCTGTCAGACAGCATGGGGAAGTTGCTGCTTGTCTCTACCTCTTCTGTTCTCCTCTGCACCCTTCCCAAGATTTTGAATTAACTGACTAGTCCTAAAGGTTTAATTCAAAACTAAGTCTGCTAGAATAATACTGTTTTAACAAAGAAGCTAAATAGTAATGTGTCACTGTCTTTACAGTATGGAGAAGAGTGCAGGAGTAAAATGTACCCTCCTTCTGGACCAACGTAAGTAATCTGATTCAACTTGTCTAGCAAATTACAGAGAAGTTGTGATTTGCAAGTCTGAACAGGGTTTTTTCTTGAATCTCGTTCCTGTTGCAGATCTAGAAAATGCTCATTACAGGTGGGAAGCACCTATTTTGTCAAATGTTTTTTCAGAGCCTTCTTTGAATTTGATCTCTGGTGTTTATCTTTCAGGTTCAAAGGGAATATACCCACATATGTCATAAATCTTGATTTACCTCCCAGCAAAAGATGGGATAACTTGATGCAGGACAAAAAGACAGAGGTAGGATATGCAGAGCTTGTTTGAAGTTTCGCAGGTATAAAGCTAGCACATGGCCTTTTATTTTCAGAAAGGTTTTGGAAAGGAATACAGCTGCTAAAGTTATATGAAAGGGATAATATTTTGAGTTGACTTTTTTAATATGATTCTAACCTAAAATAATGCTTGAGTAAATTTTTTTTTCTGTTCAACACTTGACCTAGCAGTATCAAATATAGAGGCGCTGATGTTTGGGATGTAAGGGATAAAATACAGTGTGCCATAGAGCAAGTGTGTGCCATTTGATTTATCAAATCTCTTTAGTGATGAAGCAGTGCAGGATGAAGGGGGAGGAGTACACCAAAGTGTAACTGAGGCAGCATCCCTTCTCCTCTGCACCTCCCTGCTTCTCTTAAAACACTGCATGAGATGGTGAAATGGCAAGGGGGAAATTAAGAAATTCCTGCCCTTTTCAGGGATGTTGGTTGTAGCACTGGTGTTTACACAGCAAAAATATTTTTTAAAATACTTGAGCCTATTTCAAGCTACTTAAAACAGCTGTTCTTCTGAAGATTGCTAAAAATTCAATTCAGTAATAATTACTTTCTCAAACAAGGCCAGGGCTTTTTGCTGTACCCCTGCTGACCTTGAGCTTTCAACTCTGAAAGCCAGACAAATTCTACTTACATGCTAATATTTAGTTTTAAAGTCTCATTTAAACCAGTGGGTGTTGGAAGCTTCAGGTTGCACCTTAAATTCTGAAAGGTTTTATCTCTTGTGTACTTTGGAGTTAGATGGAAAGGAACTGTTATTTGTGGCCATTCACATGGCACAAATGGAAAGCATGTACTTTTATAAGAACTTCGTCAAGTATTTTTGTCTTCAAAAGTACCAGTGCTTAAGCAAAGAGCTTGTAATTAGCATTTTTAAAGATAGAACAGGGCAGAGTATTAAAATATGATCAAAGGAACACAAGAGGAGGATGGGTTTCCTGTAATCCATTTTCTCTGGTAGAAGGACATGTTGGAACTAATCTAGAAAGTTACTTGAACAAAGCTTGAAGAGTGATTCTCTTCAGGAGTGTCAGGGGTTGGAGGTGTTTTTCTCACCAAGAACACCACATTTAGCACTTTATTTAAATACATATTTTCTCAACAAAATGTTTTTCTGAAAGGTCTGTGAAGGGGTTCTGTTAATATTCTAGCAATTCTTATGATTAAGAGTTTCTATTCAGTAAAATCTCTTGTTCTTTTTAGCTGAAGACTGTGGTCCAGAATATTAAAGATATAGCAAATACCTTCTTCCCCAGCGGCAAAGTTGTTGACATAGTGGATAACAAAATAGTAAGTATTTTCAGCTTAATTATTTTATTACTGTAGGCTCTGACTACCAGAATTAAAATGCTACTAAATTTGACAGATAAGAACTTTAAAAGTTCCTAATTTACAAGTTCTTAATTCCACTTCCAGAAAAGAACAGAAATGCTATTTAAAGAGTCACTCTGAAGTTTTGCCGTCTTGTCAACTCTGAATTACTCTGAAACCATCAAACAAAAAAATGCATGTGCCTCTTCCTCCTCTGATTTTTCCCAAGATCTTTTCAAGTTTGGATTAGTCACGCTAGGCAAATATGACTTAGTTAATATAACAGTAGCATAAAATCAGGTTTTGTAAACTGTAATAAGGGTCTGATTACAGGGACAACTTTGACCAGGCCTCATCTTAAAAAATAATTTGATTCAGATTAAAATAAGCTTTGGCATGGAATCAGGACAGGGGAAAGCAGTGTAGCGGTAGACACATCATAAAGTCAGATTTCTTCCCCATTTTTATTTGCAGCATATCCCTGTGTGCCTGAGTGGCGTTGACATAAAGGCAGCACATACAGGTAGTCATACCAATGTGGGAAAGTTAGGGATGCCAACAAACGCTGACATTAAGCTAAATTCCAGTTGAGCTTTTAATATATACAAGTCCTACTTCACTATGTTCCATCTATTGCTGCTAAGATACTGTACTAGTCTCCATTGCTCACGTCAGTATTTTGATAAGTAATAGTTTTTACTTTTCCTAAGTATGTGCTTGTCTTCAAAGGACTCTGCAAACATCTTCAAGTTCTACTGGCTGCAGAGAAATTACATACTCAGTAGTTGTGAGAAGGGTGTACCTGTTGGAGAGTAACAAAATAGTGTTAATTTAAACATACGTCATACAAAACTTTTCTTTTCAGGCTCATCTGACCGCCACACTTCCTTATCCTTTCAATGAAGAACTCCAAGGGATTGCAAATTCCTCTGGGATTCCTTTGGGTAATAGTTTTCAACACTCATTAACATAGTGGAAAACTAGGAATCCAGACTTGTTTAAAATTAGTACATTTACCAGTCTGCAGTTAGTTGTAGTCATCTGAGATCTTAACAAATTATTAATTAAGTAGGTAAAGCAATAAATTGCATCTCACACTAAATAAAAACAATATTTTAGAGAACTAAATAAAATCACATACGCCTTTCATCTGGCTGGGACTTCTCTGTAGAGTTGTGGTTTCTCATTCCTAAGTTTTGGGAACTGGAGCAGGTCTCAGCTCCTGTGCACCAAAATTTGGGGGAATCCTTTATTCTCATCGTTCAGCTGTGTGTCTGCTGTTGACATACAAAGGGCAAGCTCAGTCTCATGCTGTGATTTCTTTCCCTTGTGATCCTTGCTACTTCCTTCTGCCTTCCCTTTACACCTCCTGCAGAAGAATGCCATTCCAGGTGAGAAGTAGGCACTGAATTCTTCCAGAATTGAGACAGAGAAGGACTGTTGACCTGTTCCCACTGCTTCCCTCATACAGGAGCAGTACACCTGGTGCCAGGCAGCTGCTCCTATATGGGAGTAGGGGTACATATAGCAACTTTCTTCTTTTAAGTGAATTTTATAGCTTCTTGTGAAGTTTCCAGACGAGGAAATAGCAATGATTGTCATCTTTCTTTGTGGTAAGGCAGAAGGCCAGGAGATTCTGATCCTTCTGTTTGCCTTTCAGAAAGCTCTTGATTTTGTTGAACCAGTTATTTCAAAGATCAAATAAGATTTAAACAGGAATTCTTAATAGAAATACGACAGGATAATGAACTTTGCAGTATGCTTGTTTCTAACCATTTTTTTTCCTGTTCATGGCAAAAGTTTCAAAACTATTGAACTTTGTTTCTTTTTGTTCTAGGGGAAATTGTTATTTTTAACATCTTTTATGAAATTTTTACTGTATGTACATCAATAGTGGCGGAAGATAAAACAGGTAATGTAACCCAGAATAATTTTAATAGTTTTCTTTTATGTAGAAGAGGTTCCACCTCAATTATACAAATACAGTCCTCCTCAGCTGCAGGCAAAAAGGTCTAGTAAAGAGACTAAAAGCAAGGATAATAAAAAGGTATTCCTTGAGAGGGGAATAAGAGATCACAGGTGTTTTAGGTTAAAAAAAAAAAGGACAGAAATACTTTCAAAGATGGTTTGGGTTTGGTTTTGTTGAATTTTTTGTTTGTCGGTTTAGGAAGTCTTTTGGGGTTTTTTTTATGGTTGATTGGTTGGGGTTTTCTTAGTAGGTGGTGTTTGTTTTTCTAGGGGAAAGAAACACCAGCTAGACACCTGAAACTTTCTCAGTGCCATGTGGGATTTTGCATCTAGTTTCCAGCTATTGCATATGTATGGCACTAGAGACTGACAAAATAGTTCTCTCTTTTAAGAAGATAGACTCTTTCATTCTCCTTCTCAGTTCTGCAGCCCTTGTCTGCATCTGTTGCAGCTTAGGAAGTTTCTAAGGGATTCTCAGACAGCTTACAAATGTCTCATTTTTAGAGGAAGCTCAATGTGTTGTCATTGCATTAAGATAATGTGGAAAGCATCTGAGGCCCAGATGGACAGCAGTCTGCAAGATTAATTGATCTCAGTTATGGCAAAACATTTCTCTGCTCAAAAAAACCCCAACCATTATTCTGTGCTTATGAAAAAGGCAACTAGAAATGGTATTTTCCTTGCTTACTTTCCCAGGTATTTGCTTGCTTAGTCATTTCTTGCATTTCTAAACTGAAATTTGTCTCTTTCTTTAAAAAATCTTATTTGTTTGTTTATTGTATAGGGAAACTGTACCATGCCAGAAACTTGGATTTTGGACTCTTTCTAGGGTAAGTACCTAAACTTGTGACTTTTTTTTTTTTTTTTTTTTTAACCCAAAGAAAAAGCTAGCTGAACTTGAAATTTCTACATGCATTTTTTGAGTCTAACTGATGAACTGGATGTTGTTAAGACAGTGACAAGTAATTCTGCATTGTGTGTTGTGCAAAAAGGCTAAAATGAAAAGGATTATTCTGCTGATGTTATGTCAAACTGCCCCAAGTGCATCAAGAACAGTTGTGTCACTAAGTTTTTTCTCAGCTCCAGTTTAAACTGTCTCGAACCACAGAGTGATTTATCTCTGTGGCACAGTATGTGCCTTATCTCTGAGGCACAGTATGTCTTGTTCTTTACATGATGGGATGAAGCATCAATTTTAATGTATGCAGTGAAATGGGGATTAGATTGAGGCTTGGTTTTTTTATGTGTTTTTCTTTTTTCTTTTCTCGGATTATTCCCCCCGTTACTGTACTGTACTTTACTGGCACTTCCCGTGACTCATCATTTCCACTCAGGAGTCAGTGATTTATATTCCACTGATCTAACACCGTCATTCATTTGGATACAAACACTGTAGTTTGTTGCCCAGCACTGCATTCTCTTTTAGCTCTCATTTCACACCCCATGATCAGGTAGTTCAGCATTTGCTTTTATTACCCCAGTATATTTTTTAACATCACTCATCCAGACGACGCTCAATGCCCAATTGGAATTTAAATGTTCATCTTCATTAAAATTCTCACCTGCCTATCAAAAACTCACTTGTTGTCCACTGTAACTCCACCAGACCGTTGGTTTTGCATGTGTTGAATTTCTCTCGCTTGTCAGAAATACATGTGAACATGTTCCTTGAAAATTAAAGAAACTTCAAAGCTGTTCCCAGAGCCTGGGTTGTTTTCAGAAAATGTAAGGATCTGCTAAGTGATCTTTATCACTCTCTTGCCTACAAACTGGTCTGGCTTATCTTACAAAGTCAACTTGGGACTTCCCTTCATGTAGAGAAAATCCAGTAGTATGTGGTTTCTCTTCTTTGAAAAGTAAGAATTCGTGGTTTGGTGTCATAGGCAGTACCTGTAGCCTCCCTTTGCTATCAGGAACAGAAAGAAGTTATGTGTGTTCACAACAAACCAGCTGTCGTGGTGGTGCTGTTTAATCCTAAGCACTTGGCTATTTTCACTGCCTGCCTATCTGTTTAGACTTCTTAGTTGTTTCTTGCTGGTGCCACTCAGGTAGCTATGGAGCAGTGGTGTTGCTTGACATGAGTAAGATCAGAGGATAGGCATCACACGCAGCACGCCTGCATGCTGTGAAGGGAGATTTTAAAATCTACTGAGAGAGGGAAGTTTCAAATTATGTACTATGTTCTGCAGGTGGGATGTTAAAAATAACTCCTGGACTTTAACTCGGGAACTGAAGCCTTTAGTGGTACTCTTGGACTTCCAGAGGAACAACAAAACAGTATTCAGGTCTACAAATTTTGCAGGATACATAGGCATGGTGTCTGGAGTCAAACCAGTAAGTATGGGGAAGGGGCATTGACAGTTTGTTAAGAATGCTTCAGGCATTCTTGGGATGTTTTTTAATAAATGATCTCTTAATTGTTCTGGTACACAGCATAGCTACTTGAAAAAAGATAAAAGAAAGCAGTGCTGCAGTCTTCCATGTGAAAGGAGATTGCCTAAATGAAATATTTCACTTTGGCAATTCTTAAAAACAGCATTGAATTCTGAATACGAACAGGAGTGATTACAAAGTGCTCAAGTAGTTAGAGTTTCTTGCTAGCTAATAGGTACTACTGTAATCTCAGAGGTGAAATGGTGTACTTGTGCTATTTTAACTCTTTCTCCAAACCTTTGTAGAAAAAGAACTCCTAAATTTTAAGATTTTTTGGTTGAGTTTTTGTTTAATAGGTACCTGAAATCTGAGGGTTATCTACATCTTAAAAACCAGCTGTACAGAACTATACCAGGGTCTGCAGCTTTCCACAACTTCTCCTTTTCTACATGCTCTCCCTTTATTCTCTATTATAGGTAGCCCTTCCTGTAGTAGAGCATTCCTTATATAAACCCCTCCATTGTATCAATTTATTTTTGTCTTCGGCTCAAATAAATTGGGAAGAGTCCGTTCTGAATATGATCCAGTGTAGCTGAATTCCATTTTTCTCTGAAAGAAACAATTAGAAGAATTTGAGTTTGAATTGCATGTTGCAAGTAGCATGGATTGAATCAAGTGCAGCTGCACGCCCCTGTGAATACCAGTAACGTATCAGGGTGTACTTAGCACTGGGACTTAAACTGGAATAGTACACACAGGTCTGAGAAGAAGGTGACATACAGCAGGGAAAGGAAAACTGGTAACTCAGTAATGCAACACAGACCAAAAGAAAAAATGGCCACAGGCTTGACTTGACTTGCTTAGCATAAAAACATGCTTTGCTGATTGCTCGGCCAGGTCAGAAAACTATGAATTATCATTTCTGCTTATTCAGGCAGTGATAAATTAGGTTCTTCTCTACATGGGATTGATCTTGCAGTCTGTTACTCGAAGAGGAAGAGTCTAACAAACAAGAAGCTCAGTTGACATCTAAATTGCAGTGCTACCTCTTGTTTATTACTGGTACTAGTGAGCTGGCAATGGATGAAGGCTTGTTTAATGCTTTTCAGAACTTGTTCACACTGACAATGAATGAGCGTTTCAGTCTTGATGGTGGTTATGTGGGTGAGTAACGCTCATTTCTTCTATTATTTCTGTACAAGTCTTCCAGAACTTGGGCATACCAATTACCTTAATAAATAGTAAATATTGACCTTAATAAAAATGATGAATAGATTCCAGATGAGTAAGATAACACACAGCTTGTTTTAAAGGCTGTGAAAGTTGTAATTGCATGAGTGAACTGTCTGAAAACAAATTAGTGTAACCAGTGATATTTTGCAGGAATCTTTGAATGGTTTCTTGGTAGAAGAGACGGTATGTGGATGGGCTTTCTTACAAGAACAGTATTAGAGAATGCTACAAGGTATTTCCCCTCCCTCTAAATATTCTACTGCTTTAACTTGCTTTGCTTTCAACTAGCATGAATACTGTGGATCTATGCTTCGTATCCAGTGATACAGATACCTTCCTAGTGGCCCTAACATTAAATTGTTCTGGTATTGCTGGTACTCTAGAGCGGGGGCCAAGATGTCACACATGATCCCTCAAATTTTTTTCTCAGATTTTTTTTTTCTAATGAACCTGGTACACAGGTATCTAAAAGCATAACAGCATTCTGCATCAAAACACATCCAACAGGTAGTTGGATATTATATTAAAGGAAGTATATAGTATATATAGGAAGTAAGCAGAAACAAAGCTGTCATGCAATTAATTAATTCAGTGGAATATGACACAGTATGTCATCATCATTTTATTCATGTTTTCATATAGAAAAAGTACAAAGAGCACCTCTAAACAACCATACTTTAGATTCAAAATGAGTAGAGATACTTTGCTTAAATGTGTTCCTTCATTGTGGTCCTGTCTCCTCATATGTACATGAAGGGGGAGGAAAGACCAAACTAGTAACAACCCAAACTTTTCCTGCATCTGTGTAACTTGTCCTTCAGTACTTGAACCATTTATAGCATTTAATAGTCCAACACTACTTTATCCACAGTTACCAGGATGCAAAAGACAAACTGGCCAAAACAAGACTGCTGGCTCCAGCTTACTTTATACTGGGTGGAAAAAATTCTGGAGAAGGATGTGTGATAACTCGTTCCAGGACAGCTGCTCTGGATATCTGGGAGTGAGTATGCTTGACCTGACACCCAACTCAGCCTTCCAGAAGAGTACAGGTTCCACCAATAATAGTGTCTGCTATTTCTTGTGACTTCTGTTGTACAAAAACTTACTTCTTTACCATTACTGAAAAATACCGCAGCAAGCCTAAAAAAACCAGTATATAGTATATACTGTATATATGTACTTACGATATACTTAGAGAAGAAAACATAAACACAGATGTCTTTTTCAGCCTTGATATCAAGAAAGGCACATGGTATGTGTTAGAAACAAACTACGATCGCTGGAAGCCTCCACTAGTATTGGATAATCGTAGAGGACCTGCAATGAAATGCCTGAACCACACAACACAAGAGGTAAAAATCCTCCAGATATGTCCTATCCTGCTGTTTTGAAACTCCCACGTTACAGTACTGACCTGACACAGCCAGGAGCATTCAGGTTATTTTCAAGCACAGCTGTAATGATAGAAGTGGTTGGCGTTTTTATGGTAATGTGTCTCTGCTTCTTGGTAAAAAGTGCCAGCTGGCCCTTTACATGCTTCTTTTTCTTTTTTTTTCCCCTGGTTTTGGGCTTTCTCTTTGCCTAGGCAGGTTTCCTGCACGTATTTTCAGCAGCTGCATATGCAGGGGATAAACTTTGAGATACTTTGAGAAAGACTTTCAGTGTTTCCTGGGTAGTTTTACATCAGTGAAATTCAAACACACACTGTCAGGCAGCAAACATAGTCCAGTGTCCCATGCTCTACTGAGATCTGGTCTGCTCAAGTTTTTGCAGCCTACATTCTTCTGATCTCAAGGTGTATGGGTATCATGTGCTCTTATAGCTATATCTTGTTATGTAATTGAGCCATAAAAAAGTTACTGTTTTCAGCATTTACACTAATAGGATAACATTCCTTAACATCAGTGTATAATTTTCTTTCAGAACCTCTCCTTACCAGCAATTTATGATGTTCTCTCCACAAAGCCTGTCCTCAATAAGGTAATGCTTCTATTTTTGCAGAAAGTTTAGAATACGGGGCAGACCACTAATTACTGTACATTTAAGGAGCAGGTCACAGCAATACATTCAGGGTTTTTTTAGGGGAAAACATGGATGTAAAAACAAAACAAATTTCACATTACTTTGTAAATGCAAAATGTAATTGCTGGAATAGCAATTTTCCGAAGGCCCTACAGCTTTAAAACTCCGAGTAGCCTGAGCCCTTTCCTCATAGCTGGCTCTGGCTTGAGGCAGCAGTTACTCTACAGACATCGTGAGCACCCTTCTAATCTGAATTAATCTGTGATATATTCCTTTGTAATTAGCATGAAACAAGTTAATATACCTCATGGTTTGGGCATACTACAGGCACATTCATCTTGTAACAGAAGATGTTTTAGTCTGAACTTGCAGTTTTGATGTTTAGAATAAAAAAAGACTGAAGGAAGGAGTGAAAGGAGGTTTTGGATTATAAAGTTTAGTTATTATGTTTAGTGGGGGCAGCATTCTTGACTAAGAACACAAGCAATTTATACTTGCATGTTGTTGACTAAAGAAGGTAAATGCTCATTTTAGTTGAACTGTTCAGCTGATATCAGAGACAGGTTTTCACTAGTTGCTGTAATGAGAATTTTTTTCTTTTTTCTTCCTCCCACTGCCTGTTAGCTGACTGTGTGCACAACGCTGATGGAGGTGTATAATGGTCATACAGAGACTTACCTGCGGGAATGCCCAGATCCCTGTAGTCCCTGGTAGTCCTGTACCTTTCCTATGTTGGAAGCTGCTTGTCTGAATATTTCTGGAAAGAGATTCGTCAGTCTAACTCCATTCTTCAGAAATCTAATGGCTATATAGAAATGTCAATGAGCTTCTAACAATGAAGGACCCTTTCTCACAGCGGACTTCCTTGCTTTCTAACAGCAGTACTGCTGACAAGAAATGTATTCTGAGTGTCTGGTGTGATTTCAGCCGTTTCTGCCAAATGAGTTCAGCAGTTAGCTCTAGATCTCTTCAGTCTTGACAGTATTCTTGTTTTGTTGTTGGTTGTGGGTTTTTTAATTTTTGTTGTTTGGTTTGGTTTATTTAGATTAAAATACTTCTAAAGCACACAAGTTAAAATGGCACCTACCAAGTATGAAAAAGAATTGGGTACAAGAAGACCATCTGGGTCAATACAGTTCTGTTATTCTTTTGTAAGCACTTAAGATGAATATGTCTGATATGCCCTGTTATAAAATAACCTAGCAAGTATCATGTTTAGTCACAGAAACAAGGTCTTGGGGAAATATCTAAAATTAGATCTGAGCCAAAAATGTCTTGCCACTGATTTAAAGCTCTTTTGCTGAAGCTCTTTTTTGACCTGTTAACAAATTATTTTTTTTTAATACAGAATTTTCTGTTCTCAAAAAAAATAAATACTAATACAATAAAGAAGAACTACTTTCTTTGACCAAAAATACACATGCACTGATTTCATACTTCGGTGTAAGTCACTGTACACGTTACATATCACGTGGCATAAAGGGCTTTTACTTCTTAATAGACTGATTTTAACAGTGTCTGAAAAACTGATTTGTTCCTTAAACTGATAGTTAAAGTTATTACCATAATAGGGTAATTGGGTTGCTTTGGAAGGATTTCGTTTGTTTGATTGTTTTTTTGGAAAGTGGGGAAGGGAAGCCAGGTCAGGCTGCACCATTGGCCAGAATACAAATTAAGAAAGTAAAGGTCATTTGGAAATAGAAGTAGTAGCACCCTAATACCCTAGGAAGCAGATAAGGAAGCAGTATTTTCATCTGTGTCACTGGCTACATTGCTGGCACTAGTTTCCAGTGCCAGCTCTTATGTTTTGTAACACGCAAAGAGAAGACACTGGAGAGTAGGCTTAGGGGCTGGTATATATGGTAGTTCCCTTGTAATCTTTCCTAAACCACCCTAGGAAAGAGCTGATATTCATAGTCCCACTGATCCAGGAATTTTAAGTTGCTGTTGGTGTAAGGAAAGTGTTAGCTCTCTCTTTGGTGTCTGCAGACAGTATTGCATAAGGCACTCCGATTAAAACCTGCAAGTTCATGACATCCAGTCACAATGGGATATGCAGAACAGTATTAGTGTAGTGCAGAAGCTGAGAACACAGGATACTACAGCTTCCTGTTCCAAACACTAAAGCAAATTACAACTTTTTTTTCCCCCATAATTACAAATTTAAGAAATCTAGAGAAGGGAAAACAAGTGATTGTCCATAATAATCTCCCCAGGGAAATGGTGGATTCCCCAGGTACTTTCAAGAGTCTGCTGGACAGGGTGCTGGGGCATCTTGTCTAGACTGTTGCTTTCGACAAAAAGGTTGGACCAGATTATCATTGAGGTCCCTTCTGGCCTGGTATTTTATGGTTAAAAGACAACCTTTCATCATCCCTTGTTTCAGTAGCCAGGTTACATCTTACTGCAAACTCTGTTCTCATTAGAGGTTCTCCTTCCATCAGCATTGGAAGAAGCAGGGACAACAGGAATACTATTTGGCAAGTAGCTGCTGATAAAGAAACATGGCTTCTGGTTGAAGAAAATGAAGCACTGATATTCTAGGCCTTAGAACAATGCTTGTAGTAGCACAGCAAGAAGCAATTCAGAGGGATGTAAAACAATAACACATTGAAAACACACAGAAATCAACATCCCCCTATGTAAACTGATGTTAAAAAGGGCCAGTCTAGTTGTACATCTAATTTTTTTTAACTGAAGTATGCAAGCAGAAGTATGTTAGCATGATTGTACTACCAGAGTCCATTTTTAATCTCAATTTTGAATATTGAACCTATGTAAAACAAAATCAACATAACAGCATGATTTAATTAGGGAAAAATGCATGTGTGAAACACAGCTCCTGGGACACCTGATTCATATAAAACAGTTAAACCAAGTCAGATGTTATAGTCTGTACTGTGGAGAACACATCATGTGCTTCTGAGTGCGGACCTTAACCTGGTAGGGGGTTGTTCAGATTTATTTGGAATGAAGTTGTGTAACAGCCATAATCAAATTACTTCGTAATTTAAAAATAAGTTTACGTGCTTAATTAGTCCTGTCCCACTTTAGCATATGTAGAGCAAGGCACTGTAGACTATTTACAGTCATTAACTAATAATCTTTTGGTATGTCCCTTGTGCAAGACAAATCTACATTTCCACACTGGAAATGGCTTTATAATTGCAAGAGCACAGCTGAATCCCATGAATGTCTGTCCAGAGCTTGAATGCCTATGCCTGCTATTGACTAAAATAAACAAAGCTGTTTAAAAACAAAACCCCCAACAACTATGTATTACTGTGTCTGCCTTAATATACAAAAAGTGATTAATGTGATTGCTTATTGATTTAACCTTCATCTGTCAACTCTGAAAGCCCTTGTTCTGAAGGTTTTCTAAAACCAGACAAAAAGCTTAATTTGCTCTTGTTACAGATTTCTTTGCTCTTGTTACAACCATTTTTAATGTCAGTTTACTGCCTTCCCCCTGCTTCTGCTGCCCTAGGCACTGTGATGGAAGCTAAGACTATTTCACTGAAGAAATGTTTGCAGCTACTTGCAACGTTGGAATTTCATTTAATTGCCTTTTTTTTTAAGAGAAAGACACAAATAATGAAAATGGGTGTGTTTCCTCATATTAAATTGCTGTACACAGCGTTGAGGTACCTCACAAACACCAGGAGGATGGTCTGATTACTTCTTTTTAGGTTTTTTTTCCCAGGTCAAGTAAGCAGCCATATATATTTTTCTCTTTAAGTTTACATAAGAGATTTATGCAGTTTTCCTAGTTCTGTTGTGAAAAACTCCAGATATTTATCAAATGGTTTCAAAAAAAAAACAACTGTATATGTAAGCAAGAAGACAAACATACTTTTTTTTCATTACTGCTGCATAGTGTAGTTCTAGGAAAAGCAGCCAGTGTTTTAGCTTCTAGCAGATGTAAATAGAAAGAGTTAATCCAGTTTACTGTAAACTCGATTAAGGTATAACAGGAAAGATAAATTATTGTTTGGGCATTGGCATTTAAATGCAAAAAAATATGTCAGTTTGCCAAGAAAATTTTACACCTCTACAGTTTCAGGAATCCATGCAGTGAAGCCCCATATCATTTAAAAGGAAGAAAGAATGGCATCTCCTATGCTAAAAAACAAAATTTTTGCAGCTAATGAGGACAGGAGAATCCAAAAATTTGAATCTTATCAAAATCAAGCAGTAGTTCTGGGACACCCAAGCAAATGAGTTTGCATTAGAGTCAGTTGCATGTTAAGGCTTTGCTTAGAAGCAAAACTCCAGAGCAGTGCTCATGGATGTCCTGGCAAGTACCTGCAAGGAAAGCAGCAAGAGTAAATAAAAGACTTTCATTGGACTGAGCAGGTACGATGGAGAGTGGACAAGGAGGGAGCAGTTGAGAGCTTTAGGCAGGCTCCACAGCTATCAGTGAAATACTTTTTCCCCCCAGCACAAACACTTTCACACAGCCAGCTCTTTAGGTTACAGGTGTAAGGAGAAAGAAATGCAAAGAAGAAGCTCAAAAGCTTGGATTTCATCTTAGTGGCAACAGCAGGCAAATTACCTGCTTATGGCATGGATCATCAGATGCACTCTTCTCTTTTTGGAGGACCAGAATTGGTGAGAAAGGCACACCCAAGCTCTCTGAGCAGTAAAACCTCTCATCCTTTGCACCAGAAGAACAAGATGAGCCAGGAGTAATGCTCAATCAAAGCAGTGGCAGAAGCCACAGTCTGCCTTGGGAAGAAAACTCCAGATACTTATGCATTTTATAAGAAGCTGCCTTGACTGTTATGAGAATCTGGAAACACAACATACCCATTGACCAAAAGCTGTGATCAAGAAGCAAGCAGACCATGCAGTTGTTCCCTCTAGATCTGCTTACAAGTTTTTCAGAGGATCATAATTTGTGGAATCAAAGGTCTTTTGTAACTATGTCTGCTCCCACACGCTGTCTTAGAAGAGAGGACAATAATTATAAAGGACTTAGCCTGTTTACATACCAAGAAGCACTGTACTCAGGACATTTTCTGATCTATGGTGAATCAGCTCTGAATTACATTAATTGCATATGGGACAATCTCAGTCTAATTTGTTTTGCAAAGTTTGTTCTCCTAGCTCAAGGGTTATGCATGAGCAATAGAAGGATCTCAGTAGTAAGACTGCCTCTGTTGGGGATTCTGCACTGAAGGTAACTCCAGTCATAAGGCTTGCTTTAAGGTTTTCCACTGTTAGTCTTTGTCTTTCTTTTAATTTTGATAAACTGTCTCTATTCATCAGATACACAATGTAGAAAAAAATTGATCCCTAGGCTTTTCCCTCTTTGTATTTCAGTAAGAACAATATTTTTTTTTCTGTAGTAAAGCAAATTAGATCACAAAGTGCTGCATTGCCATCATGTTTTCAAAGCAGAACTTTAATTCAGGTACCTAGAGGAGTTTGGATTAGACATATTTTCCAAGGCTACACTCACTATCTGAATTACACCAGTATTTAAACCTTTGGGTAGTTACATAGAATTTGCATCAACTTAGTCCCCCAAATGTTATATCTGCATTCCTGCAAGAGGTGTACATGCAGCATCCCCTGTTAAGACAGCTGTGTCCGGCTCCATGAACCTTCTGCGTGAACCAGGTGGGAAAAAAGTAGAAGTGACGGGATGGAGAGGAGAAAACAGAGAAGGAAAAAAAAGAGAGAGAGAAGCAAGAGCCAAAGTGTCAGAAAATGTCAGAGGAAAGAGAAGTAAAACAGAACAGGAAGACACGGTAGTGGCAGACTATGAACTGCAGTATGCTCCTCTGCTGACCCTTCCTTTCCTGTCAGCTGAAGCCTGAGCCAAAATGTGCCTCCCCATCTGCAGCAAGATTTTTTTTTCAAATTATGCTGAGAGACAGCAGCTCTAAACTGATCCTCTAAGAAAAGAATATTGAAATTAAAAATACATGTTATCTCAAGCAACTGTTCTTCAGATTTACAAGCAAGATAAGTTGCATTAGAAATATACTAAGGCTGTGAAGTAGCCAGAAGCCAAGAAGCATAGGAGCCACTCATTCCCCTTCCTTTTTGAATCAGATACAGTCTCTTTGTATGATCCCAAAATTCCTTTTACAGAGATCCCTTGTTTCACTCACTGCATAGGACAGGCAGGCTGTGTTCCTGTGATGAATGAGGATGGCATAACAAAGGCGAAAGGCTTCTGCTTTGTTCCAGTTTTCAAGACAGTAAATAAGATAATGCCTTGCAAAAGAAAGGGTGGTGTTACAGACCAGGCAGGTCTCAGTACCTACTGGGACAACTAAATTCTCACTCCAGTTCTGCCACATGCTGCCCAGGCAAACCAGTAGATTGTGGTGTCTGGCTGGTGCCCAGTCTGTGATACCAGGGGTTGTATTTTGGAAGTACTGATCACAAAGGTAATCAAGACAGAGGGAGCTATGCTGCAATCATATAAAGTACTGTAAAGTGAATCCTAATATTTTACCTCTCAGTTCAGGCTCTCAAAATTATTCAGAAATCTTCATTTTGAACTCTCTACCTCAGAGCTCCATATGTAACACAGGCACAGTATTCTCTGATCTTTCTCAATATCAGGAAGACAAAAACATAAACTAATGCAAAAAGTCTAAAGCCCTCAAACAAAGTTGATTTAGTTTGAACCCAGCAGGCCTTCAAGGATCATGGAAGTAAGTAATGCAGGGAGAGCACCATAGGGAAACTGATAAGAAAATGAGTCATTTCAATGCAAGGTTTGGATGGTTCATAAAATAAGCAGGGCTCAGGGTCACATGTTGAGTGCTGAACATGGACACCTCCCATGTTAGCTGAGGCAGAGACTTCTTTAAAGGGCCAGCACGGGGAAGAAGAGAGGTGACTGTGATTAAGAGCCCTGTGTGCACAGGGCAGCAGGTTACATACAGGTTCTTAATATAATCCTGATGGCTTTTTATTTTTTAGTGCTTGAATTTACAAGCTAGAGATTTTATTTTTTAAACTGAAGGCTGGGTATCAGTTGATGAGATGAACATAATATACAGCAGAACGTAGCTTCCACCTGTCTGTCTGAGAAGGGGCAGCAGATGCTGAGCCCAGAGAGGACAATAAAGAAACTTAACACAGATCCCATTTACTCAAGGTGTGCATCACAACCTCCCACCAGGCCTTCTACACCAGCTCCTGCTCTGCCAGTGGGCCAAGCACACTCTATTTGCTCTGTGAGGATCTTTATAATACCTTTGCCCCCCAAAACAGCAACCCACTAATTTTTGCCTTCAACCTCTGATCAGACTCTATATTTATTTCTCCCGAGACTGCTCATTTGATTACCTGCTTTCTTTTTATCAGGTAGCCTACAAGTGCAGTGCATGCCCAGACCATTCCAGATAAACATCCCAGCCACCCAAATGGGTTTGGAACTGAGCCAGGTGACTTTGCCTATCCCCGTCTCAAGCTCCCACTTTCAATAATGTCTCTATTACACAACATCACAACAACATACTGGCACAAATCCTGCTTCCCACGGCCCTTGGTGCCAGGACTACCTGCAGTCTGAAATACCTTCTCAGACCACATTTTACTTTTTTCTTTTTGTTGGCTTGACAGTTTTCACTCCGGCTTTGAGTGTGCAGAGCTGAGCCAGCACCTCTGCTACGTGGGGGTTAGCTGTGCCTGCTGAACAACCCTGGAATTGTCAGCCACAGCCTGCACAGGTGGACTGCCATTTCCTGTTTCTGAAAGCACTGTTACCAGCCACACCATCACTCTTCTTAATTTAGAAAGCTGTTTCGTGTCTCGTGTTTTGGTTCCACACTTCCACACACAGGCTGAGGGCTGTAACAGGAATAACAGCACTGAGGTTACGCGACACTTTCCCTGTTCAAAACAGTCGGTGAGGAAACCCACGGGTATTATTTGTTGTAAACACTTCCCACAGACTAAACCCAACAGGTACCAGCAAGTAGTCTTGCTCCTCTGTGTTTTCCAGTGTAACATGACAACAAAGGAGCATGCTTGAGAACCACAATATGGAATGAAGTATGTCTGTTTAATTTTACCTGTGTGGACATTTTAAATTTATAGTTGAAGGTTCATGCCAATTATACTTCTCAGCTGTAAGTATCTGCCAAATGGTTTCTTATCAATGGAACAAAAAAAGAGCAGCAGCAGGGTTTTCCCACAATAAGGCATGAAACCAATCCCTGCTACTGTAAATCATAAGCAAGAGCAGAGCTAATCTCATGAATTTTTTTTACAGTCACTTCTTGCACGTTCTAAGCAGCAGTCTCAAACCTTACAAATGTTTTCAAACCTAAATTCCTGATACAGCTGCTAAAATATGAGGGATTTTTTTCTGGCATTCACTATTTCTGAGGTACTGACTTCTGTAGTGACATTATAAATGCCAGTCCCACAACCTGTCCTGTGCAGAGAAACACCCATACCTGGGATCTCTCCATGGACCCATGTACCAGGTAAGCCAGAGAGTCAGAGTTGTTCCAGCAATACAGAGCTGTAACAAAAGCACAATGCATGCTGCAACATGTACCAAGGAGACGTAAGTCACATCACTGCAAAACACCAGCCTCCGCGGCCCATATATATAAAAAAATCTGAAAGAGGCAGAGATTTGAGAGGGAATGTGATGACTGAAGTCCTAATAGAATTTAGTATTTTAACCCTGGACTGTACAGTGTTTGGCAACTTTATTTCAACATTGTTTTTAAACACAGATGTCTAACCCATAAAATATTAGTATCCATAACTTTATCTTCCAGAGAAGTATAGTGAAAAAATCATCTTTGTTTCCTTTTGAAGACATAAATGACCTAAAATAATTAATAAGTAAAAATACAGAAACTATTAAACATATAAATTCCATCTTTTTCCTTTTAAGATATTAGTTTCCAGTTTGGTTTGGTTCTGAAAGCTTCTAAGCAAAATGTGTAAATTATCTATACTAAATACTTGGTTTGCAACAAAAACAAATAGAATTAATTACGATGTTACTTTTAGTCTTCTAAAGTTATGCTAATGAAAACACTAATCAAAGGTTGCAGTCACCACATTTTGAGTCCTTGCCTGTTGTAGGTGGATTTCATTGAGCAATAAGATTTATAACTTTATCATGACGCAACCTATGTAAGGCTGAACTCATTTAGTTGCTAATGAAATGTGATCTGGGGACTCTTGCACCAGCTGGGTAATGATTAGGGCTTATCACAGATAGGTCTAGGAAAAGGCTGGGAAATACTTAAGCTTGTTTTGCAGTTGCTTTGGGCTCTTAAGAAAGGAGCAATTTTTCTGCAATATCAGCCTGAAGTTTTCTGCCCATACAAGAGAGGTAATGATAAGGCTTTTAACTGATTTGCAAGTGATATGGTTATATGAAATCTGATAAAATGCTACTAAATCTTTCTGGTTTAGTGCCTTTTAAATTGTGAGATGGGTACTTTGTCTTCTCACTCAGCTCAAAGAAAATGTTAATTAAGCATGTGGCTTCAGAGAAACCTTGCAGAACTTGCTCATTGTGATGCCTCCTAACTTGAAATTCTGCTTTTAATAGTCTCCTGCTGGCACAAGCAGCAACTCTGTGTAGGTTTCCCAAAGCAAGAAAGGGGATCCTAAAGGCAGTTTCTGCTTGTGGGGCAAACAAGGTATTGCATTTTATATAGCCTTTATCTCTTTGATAAAGGCTATAATGGCTCCATATTAACTATAAGCAGAAGGGCCACTCAAACATCTAAATTACTGAATAATTTTAAAAATAATCAATGTAATAAAAAGGTAGCTCCTATCCTCATAAAAAATAAGTACTTTAAAAGCAGATGAAGTTAGACTGTGACTTCTAGAATATCTTGTCCATACATGCCATCAGCTGGGGGAAAAAAAAGGGAAAAAAATCTACATGAGTAGTAAAATACCTGTCTCCTTAACATAGAATGTAGCTGAATGCAGAGCAGATTTCTGTTTAAAGACCTTCCCTCTGCAAACAGCTACTACACTTCCTCCTTCTTTCTTTAGTAATGGTGGTCTCCACCTTCTCTTAAAAAAGAAATGCTGTCTGTCAACTGAAAACTACACAACAACTTTTAAAATCCATAGTTTTCCTGAACTGCAAGACTTCAGATTTGGTGTTTGTAAGACAGGAGAGGTTTTTCAAAGTGGAGTGGAGAAATAAAACCTCAAATATAGCAGAGCACAGTAGAGAAAGCTCCCCCCTGCTTTGATTTTATGTAGGTTTTTTTATAAAATACATACAATTTTGATTCTTTTGTAGCTTAAAGGAAAATTTCTTGAGGGGTTTGTGTTTTCCATGCATGTCTGTTATTCAGGTTGAATTCAGTCATTTTTGTAAAAGAAAGACATCTCCTTTTCCATTGAATCAGAGGCTTGCATATCTAAAATTCCCCTGCAAATGAGCAGTGGCTTCTACGGATTTGTTCTTGAAAAAGGCTTCTCCCTTGTCTCCCAGGATGTGTTTGTGATATTTAAAGTAGGTGTTTATGCATGGCGGGGGGAAGGTGAGGTTCTGTTGTGTGACTGTAATGGGGGGTTTTGTGTTTTTCTGGGTTTTGTGGGAATTCTGTGAGTTTGGTTTTTTTTATTTCCATGACATGGTTATAAGACTGGACCTAACAAGCTTTTAACATCAAGGTGCTGGGAAGCACTTCAGAGTAGTGCTTGCTTTAGAGACGCAAGTAAAAGTAGGCAGTACAAGTTGAGATAAGGAGTCATCCAGAGAATTGATAGGTCAGCAAACCTCATGCTTACAGTTCAGGTCCTACTTCTACCTTAATGATATTATCTACTTATCACACTCCCTTTGAAATAATTTAATTCTGTATTTGACTTAGGGTAAGAAGAAACAGTCATGAGACCTGTGCCTAATACAAGTCCTTTAAGAGTCAGCATTCTGCCCATATTAGCCAAGGACTAGATGAAGAAATGGTTTTGTTCTTTTGTTTAACAGTGCCACAATCCAACTGGAGTTCATGTGACACTGACCCAGACAGAGGGCACCCTGGCACTAACATCTGAGATGTTAGCCCAGACCAGTGTACATGAGTGGCACCGCTTCCAACAGAGGTGCTGGGGCTGCACTTGACACTCCTCAGTGGGGCTGGGCTGAGTTACAGCATTATGTGATGGCTGCTTTCCTTTGGGCCTGTACTGGAGGCCACAGGGCTCTTTGCCCACGGTGTGGTAGGACAAGGCTCAGTGCTCTCCAGAGCACTTCCCTGAGGAGGCTCAAAGCCATGCTCCTCATCTCTGCTGCTGGAGCTGGCTGAGGACACTGTCTATCCTTCCTTACTGCAAGTATAAGCCACTGGTTTCCTGGAAGATCTGTGTAGCAACATGCAATCACCTGGGCTCGAGCAATTGCTTTACCACCACCTGCAGTGGGTGCCAGGCCTGGCAATGTACCATGCCATAACACGCCATCCTGCTACCAGCACACCTTCTGACCAGCACTATTTGGCTGCACGTTGCATGGCTCTCTGCAAAGCAGTCTGGCTAGAGGCTGCAGCATCAAATACTAATGTATTCCTTTGCCTCAAAGAAGGGAATTGGGATGTAGCTTTATTGAAACATACCTCAGTTCGTTTTTTATTCCCCCTCCACTCCTTACAAATAAGAAACAGTTATGACAGCTGGATTGATGCAAATTAGTTACATTCCAGTTAATGGGATTAGGAATTGGTTATGGACAGAAGCCCTTCTTCTACAGGGCAGAAGAACACTAAAGAGGAAAATACAGTACCCCAAACACCCTGTGCTGAGTGAGGGCCAGATAAGTTGGAGCATCCTGTGCCCCAGCTTTGCAAGGCCTTTGTCTGACCACAGCAGCCAGCAGAAAAATCCCTGAACAGGTGCTCAAACACTTCTTGTGGCTTTACCACAAAGGCAGATACAGTTTTGTCTATTTCACATGTTGTTATGAACTAAGCTAAAGATTTCTTGTCCTGAGCTTTATTTTTGAAGGCTTTACTTTTACTTTTACTGTCTGGATGTGAGTGCAAACAGATACTTCAGGCAGACCTAGACATGCCAGTTAACTGTGCTGTATTCTGTAGGGAGGATTATTATGAGCTTTCTGTAACCTATTTTCTTAGATATCTTCTGTGAATTTTTCCACAAGAGGACATGATTATTTCAGGTGTCGTCACTGTACTTCAAGTTTAGGCAGTCTTTGATATCTATTGATACCTTCCCAATCCCCAGGTGCAGGTTAAGGATTTTACATTAATCTATTCAGTGAAGATTGTTGCAAAAGCATAGCACAGCAAATGACATGCTTTATTCCTGCCTGTGAGGACTAAGAAAGGTTCACTGCAGCTCCCCTCCCTTCTGTTTGTTATACAGCACTTCTCATTCTGATGGTGGTTCAGTTCCTGATGGAGGAGCAAAACGTTATCACAGAGGTCCCACCAGCCCTAAAGCGTCTGGCCAAGTATGTGGTGCGTGGTTTCTATGGTGTAGAGTACGCCCTGGCCCTCGATATACTGATCCACTACTCCTGTGTGAAAGAGGATGACTTGTTACAGCTGCTCAAGTATGAACGTAAACAGCTGCGTACTGTCCTCAACATGCTCAAGGCAGACAAGCTGGTGAAAATGCGTATGAGAGTTGAAACGGGGCCTAGTGGGAAGAGCACAAGGCACAATTACTATTACATCAATTACAAGGTGCTGGTGGATGTGGTAAAATACAAACTAGATCATGTGCGCCGGAAAATAGAAGCGGATGAGCGGGATTCAACTACCAGGTCCTCTTTTACATGTCCATCTTGCTCTAGCACTTACACAGACCTTGAAGTCAATCAGCTCTTTGATGCATTTACAGGTATATCACTTATATTGTTTATTTGCTGTTATCTTAGAGAATAACTTTGATAACACAAAAATGTCTCCTAGGCAAACTTTGCAATAAAAGCATGTTTGTTAGGATATGCTTCTTGTTTGCTGGTGGACAAGGGTCTGGGACCTGAGAAGCTGGGATGTCAGTGGCAGAGAAAGTGCTGTACAGGCCAAGTAAAAGGAAGAATAATCTTGAATATATGAGCTGGGGTTGGGAATCAGATTTCAGGCCTCGGCTTTGCTTTTAATAAGACTCTTAACCCAGTTTAAGATTACTTATCCAAGTCTTGTGAGTCCCACTCCCTCATATGGGAATGAGAACACAGTACTGGCTTTACCCTGGTGTGTGTTAATTAATCCATTTGTGTGTTCAGTAGTCTAGTTTGAGTGTGTTAGATAATGGACTGGTGTGTTCAGTTCTTCTGATGGAAGAGTTGGACAAGATGGATAAGACTGTTTGCAGTCACCTACTGTAATAAGTGTCTTGCAGCTCAGCAGTAGGAGTTCTGTCACTCCTGGGCTGGGAAGTTTAGGCTCCTCCCGGGTCAACCCGACACATCCACAATAGAAATGGTGTCAGAGCTTGTCGGTTTTTCTTCTTTAAAATGAAAATAACTAAACAGAGAGTATGTTTTGAAAATGAGTTAAAATGGCATCATAGCACAATACATTAAGTGCAGCTACTGTGCTGACATTTGGGTAGTGGTATCTGCAAAGGGTGTCAGAGCCAGGGAGAATGAACTTTATACGACTAAACTGAAATGTCACTGGTGAAATTAGTGTACTGCCAGTTAGCATCCCTTTCTTCTAAATGGAGGGACTCTGTCGAGTTACTGAAATGCAAACATTGAAGCTGGTGATAAATTTTAATAGAATAAGCTTAAAGATTTTTTTTTTTGAAGACATAAATATAGGGTTTTAGTATATGCCTTGACTCTAAATTACTCTTTTTGAACTAAAACCAGATGCTATTTCTGCTTGAAAATGTCTTTTTTTTTCTTACATTAAGAACTGAGACGAGATCCAAGAATAAAAAAATAAACCTTACTATCTGATGATAGTACATGTCCAGTAAACTTAAATTTCTCTCTTGAGACATTTCCTCTTGCATAGAAAGCATCTGAATATCAGTTTGTCTCAAGTTTGCCTGTAAAATTGAGTTTACCTAGTTAATGTGAACAAACGATTAAAGCTGCAATGTTTTGGTACTTGTCCAGGCTGTGGACTGCTTAGCAAAGTACTGCTGATCTTTTTGCATCCTATGAACATGAGAATTTCCAATTTGCAAAATGTTGCAGAGACTTTCCACTGCACTTACTGCAACACTGAAGTAGAGGAAAATGCCTCAGCGTTTCCAAAGCATGATGCTCAAACCTTGTTAGCGAAGTTCAATGAGCAGATGGAACCTGTCTTTGTCCTGCTGCGTGAGACTGAAGATATTGTTCTACCATATGACTTGCTGGAGCCTCAGCCAACAGAAATACCAGAATTATCAGAAAGGTATAAACATAACCCTCTAGAACTTCTGATCACTGCAAACCCCAACAACTTTCTAATGTAAAATCTTTGAAATACTCAACTTGCAGCCTACTTTGTACTCCATTCTGCTCTGTTCTGTACAGTCTGCTGTTTAACGAAGAAGTCTGTAATATCTAAGGCATTCTAAATTATTGCTATGCATTTATAATTTTATTTTTGCTACCTTTTTTATTTTAAGTGATTTATTTTCCAGATTTCTCCTTCAGCTAGTGCTTATAGCTCTTTCTGTGAGAAAGTAACATTTCTCTATCAGTGTGCTTCATCTTGAGATGCACTACTGAAAAACCCTTGCAAAAATCAACAGTTCAGAACTACTTGCCTCTGAGATGAGGTAACAGGAAATGCAAATAGTTTTAATCCAGAGCACTTGTTAGTCTGCTGACAAAACATGTTTTTGGGGTTCTTTTTGTTTGTTTGAGGTTGTTGTTTGTTGGTTTGGGGTGGTTTTTTTGTTTTTGGGGGGGTTTTTTTGTGTGGTTTTGTTTGTGGGGTTTTTTTATGGGAACTGAAGGTGTTCTTCCCTGAATTTTACTCGTTCAAAATGTGACCCTCCATTTAGCTTTGATCAGAAGTTGGGCTCAAGTGCGCTGAAATCCTGCAGCTGCCCTGAAAAATGGGCATACAGAAGTTCCTCTTTCAGCATTACGTACACCCAAAATGTAGTTATTGATGTCCAAGACTCAAAGCGCAAAAAGAAAAGAGAAAAAGCAACTACAGAACAACCTATCTGGTTGTCACAGAGCACTATGGAAGGAGCAACAATAGCCACCAACAACAGTGGTAAGTTTTAAGCATTAGCAAATAAATTCATCAGCCTTAGTGCATTTAAATATAGTCTTCCTATTGAAAATGTAGTGAGCTTGGTTTAGAAGATAGAATAATGCTTCAATTCTGCACTAGTGGTTATCATAGTTTCTAAAAACTAGCCTTTAGACTGACTGGGGTAGTATTCCTAAAGCCAGAGGTCAGGTACCAGGTCCTGAAGCTTCTGGCTCTAACCATGCAATAACGTTAGCAGTAATCTTTACAGTGGGAAGCTCTTGGAAATGTCTGTACTTTCAGTAGAATTCTAGTGTGGGTAGAAAACATCCAGAGTAGAAAAAGTCATCTATGTAGGATGTCTGTGGTAACTGTAAGCTATTGACCCCTCTAATACTTAGTATTGTGTATTAGGAGTAAATGCTTCTAAAGAAATTGAAGAAACTGTTGACAACAATGAAATCCTCAAGACTCTTCTGACCCATGAACTTAAGTCATCGTCTAGCACACATCAGGCTCCTGTTGTTCAAAGCAAACTACATGAATCAGGCAGTGATAGTAGCGAGTTTGAAGAGGATGCCAAGTGCTCAAGAGGAGCAGGAATGAAAGCAGCAAGCAGCAACTCTGAACAAGAGGAACAGGAAACTCTAGGTCCTATTTTAATGGTAGCTGGACAACCGCGTGCATATGGTGAAGTCAGTGAAAATCCAGAGCTTGTCTCTCTTATGACAAAAGAAGAGAGAGAAGCTTATATAAAAGTAGGACAAGAAATGTTTTGGTCTGTCTTTGAGTAAATGCTACTCTGTGAATATGCACACTTGTGTAGAACGGGTGAAGGCTTCTAACTCATGCTCTTTAAAGTTTACCACTGAAGGGTTAAGTTTTGTTTGAACTCTTGGCTATGCAAGATAGTAATCCTGTAGTAGGTACTACAGTTCAAAATACTAACATTGCAGCCACAGCAACCCAAAATTACTATGTGTTTTCTGTTGTCTTAATGGTTAAACTTTGTAAGTGATGTAATTAGTTTTGGAGCATGAATCATTTTAGGACACGTTGGGATCTGATTAAAATAACATTTCAAAAGCAGTGATGCAATCTATTGTAAGAAATCAGTTATTCCACCTTCCTCTCAAAAGTAGCAGTTACTTCCAGTAGTGAAGATGAGTCCAAGTCCAGTATGATTTGGTTTTGCTCTATACCAGTCTTGCATTACTTTGTTAAGTCACTCACTCCACAACAGTAAGGGATAGATGCCACACAGCAATCTCCTTCCAAGGGAAGAGCTGTTACTGAATTGCATTAGCATTAGATGAGAACCAGCTCTGGCCTCTTGAACTTTCATCCTAAAAGTAATCATCATGCTTCTTTGTACTTGTTGCTCTACAGAACTGTCTCAAGTGATGAACTATGCAATGGGCATTGAACAGTAAGATGTCACATTCACTTTGGTCCAGATCGGTACAGGAGCAAGCAATGTTTTAAGCACAAGACTCCGCTTCTCCTACCTCACACTCTCCTATGCTCTTTTTAAGCATGAAACAAATTCTACTTGAACTGAGCTACATATGTAGTATGCCAGAAGGACTGGCATTAGAATGTAAGAGAGAGCTTAACTTTTCAACACTTCTGCTACGTCAGTAAGAGATAATGAAAGTAGACTAGAAGAGCACAAACAAACACAGGAGGTTCCCTCTGAATATTAGGAAACACTGTACTGTAATGATGACTGAGCACTTGCACAGGTTGCTCAGGGAGGTTGTAGTCTCTCACGAAGATATTCAAAAGCCACCTGGGCAAACGTCTCTGAGTGGCCCTACCAGAGGAGGGGAGCTGGACAAGCTGACCTCCAGGGGTCTCTGCTGACCTCAACCATTCTGTGATGAAACAGTGGAGAGGAAGTATGACCAAAGAAATACAATTTCAGTGCATTTTTCCTATACACACTATGTTGGTTTTGGCTGAGGTAATTTTCTTCACAATAACTGGTGTTGGGCTGTGTTTTGGATTTGTGCCGAAAACAGTGTAGATAACACAGGGATGTTTTCATTATTGCTGAGTGGGGATTACCCACCCCTCCACCAAGGAGGCTGGGAGTGCACAAGGAGGTGGGAGGGGACACAGCTTGGACAACTGACTGCCACTGACCAAAGGGATATTCCAGACCCATATGGCATCATGCTCAGCATATAAATCTCAGAGAAGAAGGATGGGGTGACTGGCATTTGGAAGGATGGTATTTGTCTTCCCAAGTCATCATTATGCCTCATGGAGCCCTGCTCTCCTGAAGATGGCAGAACACCTGCCTGCCATTTTGCTTTGCTTGCAGGCACACCTTTTGCTTTAGCTCTTAAACTGTCTTTATTTCAACCTATGAGGCTTTTTGCTTTCACTCTTCCAATTCTCTCTCTGATCCCACTGGTGGGGGAGTAAGCAAGCAGCTGCTTGGTGCTTAGGCACTAGCTGAGATTAAACTTGCACCCTGCCAGGGCAAGAATTCAGGACTGGTGTGTGCTCATGCTCTTCTTGAGCTTAGAATTTAATGATTCACCATATAAACTAGACTTGTTTCAAACCTGCATACATAATCTTGTTCTACTTCATAAAAAATGTCCTCTTTTAGGTTTACTGAGTGATTCTTGGGCTAAACTAGTCATTAATAACTTTGATTGTTTCACGTTCACAGGTTTACCTTTGCCACAATATATTTCATGTCCTCAAGTTTAAAGTCTGCACATAACTAAACTGTCTTCAAACCTTTTGCTAGTAACTTTTTTGGACATGAGAGGCATGTGACCATAAGCTGCCATTTCAAAATTCACTCATAATATCTAGAGACACTCCAAACAAAGTAAAAAATGAAATCACAAAAGAATTACATTCTCTTTTTATTTAAACTTCACGCATATTTAGGCTTCGCAGTCACTAGACTGTCACCCATGGTATAAAGCCATATTATCACATTAACCTCACAAGCACCACAAACCTGAATTAAAGATGACCAGTGCTTTTTAACTACTGTGAGAAAAGCCTTGTGTTTAAGGTAAACAGGATGTCTATAATGCAGCAGATCTGCTGAATAAGCTGCTTCTAGCTCAATTTTTCGATTCAGTGTTATTAGCAACTCTGGTCTGAAAAAGTGAAGAAAGTTTTCCAATCTACTTTTCTACAATTCTAATTCCACCTTTACCATTAGACTCCATCAGCTGCTGTTTTTTAAACCATTAACTTTGTAAGGAAATTTAGGAAATTCTAATTAAAGTCAAATACTTTAGGAACAGATTCTACATCACTTTTAACTGTTACCTGTGAAAGGATACTGGCATTTTCAAACAGGCTTATCTCTTTGAACATTGAAAGTGCAAAATAGAAAATGCAGGAAAATACCACTGGTTTCTGCAATTAACTACACACCTAAGGTATTTTAAATTCACCTCAGATAAATGTGCTGATACAAAGGAATTCCACAGGCCATGAACAGGAACTTTTTTGTTACAAACCAGCTATACTCTAGGCTATAAAGGCAACATGTAGGTATGTACTGTGTCTACACCTTGTATTTGCAGAAGATGAAGAAACTTAGTCGGACAAGAATTTCTTGTCCCAGGAAAATGAGTGGTGTTTCTTGTAAGAGAAGTAACAAACTGCTACAAGTATGCCAACACTTAAAGTCAGTTAACTTCCAGCAACAAACTCAGCAAACCAGTTTGCAAACCAAAGGAAAATTTTTCAAAAGACAAAATTTACAGACAAGTCCAAACTTTATTTAAAACTACTATTTTGAACAATTTTAAAATTACTAAACAAGTCACAATAAAAAATAAAAAATTAAAGACAGAAAAAGAACAGTGCAGCAAAACTGAAGTGAATTCAGTTCCAGCTGTTTAAACTGCCACAGGCAGAAGTTCACATACCTATCCTAAGAGGCAGTGTGTCAAAAATTTTACATTTTTATACACTTCCAGAATTATGGGAAATTAGTGCTGATCTTCTGTATGCATTTGTATACATGGAGTTTATAAATGCAGATATCTTCAGGTTATTCTCATGCATTTTGAGTTCCAAAAGTTTCTGTAAAGTAAGAGTACACTCATCATTATCTAATAGCTACAAGGCATCAAAAACAGCTCATGACCACATTTCAACTCCTAGATCCCTTGAAGTATCTTGATGAAATATTTCATCCTCACAAGCATTTTGAGCCATGGATTACTTGAACAGCTACAGCCATCCCCACATACACGGATCAGAATGGCTTAGTGCTACCTACAAATCTGGTGTGGCATGGCATTCCCAGCCAGACTGCTCCTACAGCAGGCATATGCATCAGTATCCATCAAATGGGCATGCAAGACTTATGCTGGCATGGCTGTGACAAGCAGAATGCTGACAGACAGTGAATGAAATGGAAGGAAAGATGCACCTTTCTTCACACTTTGTTCTGGAAAAATCTATGCTGTGACTGCAAATGCATTAAAAATATGCATATTTGAGGAATTGGAACTAGCTACACTAGTAGAAAACTGCTACTATGACAATAACCATTTCATGTCTTTATATACACCCTTACTGTATTCTCCACTGGAGAATTACAAGTCTAACAATAGAATAGAAGTCTCTAATACTGCAATTTTGTCACAATATCAACATTATATTAAAAAAAAAAATTCTCTGACCTGCATTACCATTAAGTTTTTGTAGCTGCATAAATACTGTTTAATGAAAGTGACAAATTTTTATTGCTATCATACACACTGAAACTTTTTTCTACCTCATGTTATGCTTCATACGAAAAATAATTTCCTTTTCCGGAAGAGATATTTTACTATTCTGAAAAGTCTCTCGAACTTTTCTATCACAAAAACACTGAGCAGTCTGTCAGAAAATTATATTGAGCATTATTAAATCAGATAATAACAATTAAACCCAAGCTTGCATAACATGAAACAAAAATACTACTCCACTTGACTAAGTTTCAAAACCATTACATTGTGGCATGCACTTTACATATGTTAATTCTTATGACTTTATCAGTGACAGAATCTAACAGAAGTATATCAAACAGACATGGAAGGCAAAATCCCATCATATCAATAAAGTATTTTCAAATGCATGGTAACAAAACCCGATATTCTTTCAGCACCACAATAATTCCTTACTTCAGTGATATTTGAATTCTAGCATTCCAGAGTGTATTCCCAATTTGCGTGTAAGATTTAGAAAATAATATTTACCAGGTTCTTTCAAAGTTTGGGCATCTCCTACTAATTCTTGATCTCGAGCTCCACCTCCATCCAGTAATTCATCAGACAAACTGTTGGTTTGTGCCTCTGTTTCCATTTTCTTCATTAAATCTGCCTTCATAACAGAGAAAGCAAATCTCAAAATTCTGGATAATTCTTTGTGCTGTCTAGATAATAAAGACATTTAGGGTGTGCACTCCTAAACACCCCACAAATAGTAGCCAAATACCTCTGAATATACAGCAAGTTTGAGGGGCAAGTCTTCAACCTTCACAAAGTCATCTTCATCAGATTTTTGACTTACATTTCCAGAACCAGCTTCCTGTTAATAAAAATAGTGATATTTAAGAGAATAGTGCTATTTTGTTTTATTTTCACTTTTTGACAATTAAAGTATATCAAAAAAACAATGCCCAACAAGACTGCAAACTAGAAATAACACTGAAATAGAAAAAAGTTTCTCATGTCTCTTGGATGTATCTTAATCGAAATATACGCACATATTCATTCACTAGCACAGGGGACTCCGTATCAGGGCTGCCAGCCATGGA